TCTGAGGTAGCATTCTAATAGCTCTCCTTTGCACATTTTCTAATGGTTATCTGTGTTTCTACTTATAGGATGACCATACACTACCAACGTATTGTAAATGTGGCCACATGCTATAAATGATAAGCTTAATGTTCTGTAATCGATGTTATTATAAAACTTATCTTCTGATCTGTCTGGATATGTTTTTTTCAAATTGAACGTTTCTATCAGTCTACACTCCAATGTCTTTTCACTATATTACCATACTCAAACACATGCAGCTGATCCCCTTTCGTATATAATCTGTGGAAGTTCTATTCTTTTAAAAATGGGCAACGATTTATATTTGTCTGGGTGAAACTTAGTAGCCAAGTCGCCCTCCACTTCAATAATTCGTTCGATTCCGACAGTGAAGCTCAAACATTACTCTTTTCTTTAATCTCTCTATATAACATAGGCCGGTCGTTATTAGCAAATAAGAAGACATTTGATATGAAATCAGGAGATATGATATGATTGCCAATGATACAACTATCCAACAGAGTCGAAAATGGTATGGATTTAAGCTACTATGATCAGCTATAGGTCACCGTACGGCCCACAAACACTTGTCTCTGAAAAACAAGAGACAAGTGCCAGTGGTACGACCCGGCGTCAACAATGATCAACACCCATACTGTATATATATAGTCATGCAATTACAAAAGTCGACGACATAACAAAATGTGCATGAAACAATATAAACGGAAAAGGGCTTGATTTACATGTGACAAAACATTAAACAAACATAAAAATGAAAGACAGCAATCGTATAAATCACAATTAAAAATAAAATTGAGAATGGAAATGGGGAATGTGTCAAAGAGACAACAACCCAACCAAAGAGCAGAAAACAGCCGAAGTCCACCAATGGGTCTTCAACACAGTGAGAAAATCCCGCACCCGGAAGCGGGCTTCAGCTGACCCCTAAAAGTCAGTTATAAAGATACGCAGTGATGAGGGTGTGGATGGGGCTTTACATAATAGAACATAATGGACAAAAAGTATAAAGGATAGAGAAAAATGGCCTAAAACATTAAAGAAGAATACAGAAATGAAGGACCCCCCCATTCAGATCCTCAGTGATGTTAAGGCAACTTCGAGGAGTTTTGGTCACTCCACAATTACCTCATTAAAATAATACCTGACGTAGTACTGATCGTTTAGTGACACCACTAGATACACAATGTAATCTTAGATGGGATCAATTCACTTGTACAGCAACAATCAACCAATTAATCTTAGGCAGACTTCCTTCTTTCATTTTAAAGGTTTTATATCATACATTAGTTGGTGGTTTTCCCTCAATTTTCAACAGTAGACAGGTGTCTTACCATATTCCAAGCTCTTGTAGATCTTATTTAGCCCAAAAGACTAAAAATTAAATTGTGAATAATTAAACTGTCTCGATGTGCCCCTTGGTTGTCTAAACTTTTGTATTGTTTTAGCATGCTTCAGTGTGATTGTCGGGCTAAATTATGACAGTAAATGTTGATTTCTTTGCCAGATTTATTTTACTACTCTTTGGCTTTGTTCTTCAATCCACAGTTGTGGCGTAATCGTCAGTTTCCAAATAATTCCGCTCAAACCGGTGCTAGGTTAAAAACTGTCTTAAACTTGCAGTGAGGTGAGAGGTTTTGCTCTATGTTGAAGGCATCGTTGTAACTTTGAGATGAAGATCAGCAATAAAAACGCTGTTCCTTTGCTTTTTGTGTTTTTTTATGTGCAAGAACTTGTGTCATACCCTATATCCTTTCTTTTCTATTAAACAAAAGTTTTTTTCACTAAGTATTTAAGGAATGACTGTAATATTTTTTCTGTCTATGAAGAAATAACATCAAAAATGTGGTGCACACCGAATAACCCGCGTAGCGCGTTATTTTAAAGTGTGCACCACATTTTTTATGTTATTTCGAATAGACAGAAAAAATATTAGATCTACAGTCATTTCTTATAATTTAATTCTAAATTCCATTTTAAACCGGAGTAAACCATGAAAAAACGTTGATGACGTCACGGTCACATGACAAAATTATGTCTATGAGCTGATAAACAAAACAACGTCAGCCAATCAGAAGACGCGTTACATCCAAAATTAAATTATTACCAAATAATGTTAAGTTCTCCAAGTAACAAGACAATAATTGACAAGATTCCTGGCTTGCGATTTTAAGTTATATTTTTTTATGATCCCATCCCTCCCCCTTAATCTCGATCAGCAAAAAGTACACAAAAGAAGATCAAATGAAATTCAGCAGAAGAAACTGAACACTTAGCTCTATAGCAATGCAATACGATTGTACTTGCTAAATCAAGTACAGGTTGACAGTTACTTTTAAATAGAATAAGTTCTTCTCAATAGTGTGAAAAGTTTAAATTAATGTTAACAAGACAAACTTGAGGAATTTTCAAAAGTTAAACAATAGAATGACTTGAAATTTTACATTTCTACTGAAGAGAAAGACATTCTTTAAAAATGTAAATATCTTAACCTGATATATTCTCTAGAAATGCATCATATATATCGTATATTGAATATCGATAAGTGTAGATCTTACCATGTATCCATAGAGTGCCAGCTCGATGTGTTTCTTAATTATGGGGCCGAAGTCTGGGGGTTTAAAAATTTTGTCATTCCAGAAAAGGAAGCATTTGAGTTTTTGCAAGCATGTTTGAAACAATAGACTCCTTATTTTCGGATTGATGGGAAATTTGGGGAGATATCCGATTTCTAAACACGTACGTTAAATTACGTAATTATGCTAAATCTTTGGTCAAACTTTTTTAATAACTTGCGTGTAAAATAAGGTTTCGATGTAATATAACTTGATGTAAAATAATTATTTGTAACAAGTATAGGCAGAGACATATATTGTATTATATGTCTCTGGTATAGGCAATGGAAACACATGGTTGTTATCTCGCATGCGACAAAAGTCGCAGAATGAGAGCCATAGGGATTGCAATTCGATGGCGGCTTCGTAAACTATTTGTATAGAGTTTTATATTTCAGAAAATAAAAGACCTGGATGCATCATACCTTGTACGAAGATGCCTTATGTTATGAAATTTGTGTCTGGCGTTTGTCGATTGTCCTTGACCTCATTTTCATGATTAGCTTGAAAAAGTTCAGCTTTTTGTCATGTGATTTACTGACTTATTATGAGTATTAAAATGACAATATTTGGTATGGGATCATTTCAATGTGTACATGTCCTTCAGACAGGGTTCACCTGACCTCAACCTCATTTCATAGATCAATGATCAAGGTTCAGTTTTCGTGGTCAACTATAAGCAATAGGTCAACTATAGCTGGTGTATGGGATGATTATAAGGTGAACATGTCAGACTGGTAGGCTGGTGACCTTCTGCTGTTGTCTGTTCTATGGTCGGGTTGTTGTCTCTTTGACACATTCCCCATTTCCATTCTCAATTTTATTCATCTAACCTTGGCCTAATTTTGATGGTTCATTGGTCAGTTTTTTTTTTAGTTTGGTCTATTTCTCAGATACTAATTTATGGGGTCACTATGTTTGGTGTAGGGAATAATTGTATACCAAAGTGCACCTGTCTTTCTGGCATGCTTCATTGGTCAATGTTAAGTTTTCATGGTTTTGTACATCTATCGGATATACATTTATATACTATAAGCAATACGTCAACTACATTAAGTGTATAATCTTCGCTAGCCTTGGGCTTGGCTAGCGAAGAATTTAGCGTATGAAATGATTGAAATGTGTCTGGCAGGTTTCATTTGACCTTCACCTCAATAATATCAATACCGCTATGATGAATACAATAAAGAATCTGCAAATAAAACAAATCTTTGTTCTTTAAACCATTAGTAGCAAGGTTCTGGTGCAAAAAGTATCTTCATTATTGTCAAGGATCCGGTGCAAAAAAATAGTTGGCATGCATTTTGTAGCCGGACACACGCTATTCCTACATGTATTTCTATTGTTCTGTTATTATATCACTTCTGTCAAGCTGTATATTATGTATATCTGCCTCTTGTAACAGTGTAAACTGTCAGAGTCAGTACAATAAAATCTTGCCTACATAGATTTCTAACAAATGACATACCAGATTTTGAAATGTTGAATAGCAGGAATAAACCAATTGAAAACTTTGAAGAAAGGGGCATTATTATTCTGGCTGCATACATGTCAAGTCAAATTAGCGTTTAATACATTAGTCATTAATTTTTCAAACAAAATACGTTCTAGAGCTTGATGTGGGTTTTTTTTATAGTATTACACTCGAATGATAATCCAAAGTTTTACAAATGATGTTGTATAAATATGGTGAAAACGTAATTCCAAAAAAACATAACATTTCTATTAGTGTCAACGTATATTTGTTCCGACTAACAGAAGTTCCACTGGAAACTTTGTTATAAACAATGTCATAATATCTGTTCCTGTTGGAACAAATATTCTATACCATTTATTCCGTTAGGAACATTTACTGTAATATTTATTCCAGTGGAAATAATATTCCAGAATATAGTTTCCATTTGGAACTTATATTATGAAGGAACTTCTATTCCGTGACATTTCTACTATGTCTATATCAAAATCTGCAGTCAGCGAAACACTTAAGTTCCACTTATTACGCAACTATACTGTGCGTGTGTCAACCAGCACACGGCAGGGGAAAAATAACTTAAAATAACAAAAACTTACCTGTTTTCTTTTTTTTTAAATGCATACATTTTTTTGTAACAACAATACTCTACCGGTGAGTGATTTGTCAAAATTTTTTATGACATTTTTTTCGGTGTTTGATTATACATTTCATCTAAAAGATATTTCTTGGAACTTTGTAGAAGTGGAATAAAAAAAAATAAGTTGCGTAGTTCGTAACAGTGAAACGATTTATTTCAATTTACAGAAAATTGGAAAGTATTTTTACCGGCATTATAGGACAAGTTCGGGGCATGGTTAAATAATTTTAGTTTTTGTTGAAAACGAGGCTTGATTGTTTTGATTCTGGAAACGGCCATATTTACTAGATGGTAGAGAATCCGGTAATAAAAATCAACAATCATCGGCTTCACATCCGAGTAAAACAGCAATATTATCTTCTTATATTATTTTCAAACATTTATTTTTCATCTAGGAATCGGTTTTGACCTTCTGTTTAAAGAAGGTCGGTTGCATACACGGTTTTAAATTGACACCCATCGAATCTAGTTTACAGTCATAAAAATGGCTTGCGGAGCAACATTAACGTTGAAAAGGAATCTTGAATTTGATCCTATACACAGTCCGGGACAAACAACACCAAAGAGACGTAGATGTATGCCAATGACTATGTCGCCGTCCACACCACCAACGAAGCAACATCAAGTAAATCCATCACCGTTTGGAGAAGTTGGTCAGAAACTGACATCGGGTAAGAATCGAAGGCTATGAATGGACAAACAAAGGTGTCGCATTGAAGTTTTATCGAATAATAAATGCCGTTTAGTCAACACTAAAAATTATATAATTTGAATGTATTATTTTGTCATTTCTACACCCCTTGAGGTCTTTACATAATGTACAATGTCAGATGTATACAGAATCTATTGAATTATATCGCAAATACCTAACTTGACGTATTAAATATAGTTTGTAGCATTCGAAATAATAAAAAAATTGCTTGGTTGCAATTCCAAACGTTTTGAAAGCGGTAAAATCCATAGCTCTATGGTCAGCAAATTGTCAAAAAACATAAGAACCTAGTATAAGCTACATTCTGGACTGCAGCTGGGCAGCTGTGTCCCCAAGGTTGGCAAATACCCTAAGGCGATTGGTCATTTCTAGTTGTAACCAATCAATACAGGCCATATTGAAATTCTAAAAGGATCAACAAAAGTCGAACATGACTGGTCATTGAACACATTTACAAGTTTGACACTGACTTTGATATTGAACTTTAATAGGAAAGCTACGAAAGCATTTATTAAACTATGACTAAAGTGCAGGCCAAATAATCTTTCTGGAAATGAGAACCGTATACCAAAAACCATTTACCCATAACTTGTTAGTGACTGAAGGGGTGGGGCTAAATAATCTCAATGGAAATGGATGTGCCAATGCTAATTCAACTGAATTCCAAATATCATTGACCTACCACTAGTTGTTCCCCTTCATCTGACTAAATCACACAATTATACATGTAGTTCAATTGCATTGCATACATTATTGTTCTTCAATTGTTTATCTGTATATGTCCTCCTGGGGTCCTAATCAGGGCTACCGGACATTTTATATATTATCCCGATTTAAATCCCTTAAGACAAAATAAACAAAAGGCAATTATGGTAATCAGTTGCCGAGTTGGCCATCCCAGAGTGACATTTAAAAAAAACGATACTAAACTTTCTTTTGATTCAAATTCTAAGTTCTGACGTAAACTATTAAATTGGCAGTGCATCATTCGAAGTGTGCAACATCTGCGTACTTATATCTGCCTTAGACTCTTTTTATTTGTGCAAAATAACGTTGTCAAAAACTTTACTTTCGTTTTTAAATCTAATACCGGATGTTATCTTAACAACGGTAAAACATGGACCAGAGACGGATACGTAAATTCCGTGTACGTTTGCAAAGCATGAATGAGTGCAAGTAGCTCTTTCTACGTTATTTCTTCGAGAAAATATTTGAAATAAACTTGAGATAAAGGTATCAATGACAATTTAAGCATTTTTTGAAGAAATTAGAATGCATAATTAAATTTCACACCTGCGCACATGCTCACACGTGTACTACTTCAAACAGAGACATACAACGTGGTTATGACGATTTTTAATTTTCATCAAATCATATTTTTAAACGTATTTCTGATAATTTAAATCTTTTTGACTAAATTAATTAGATGGAAACCGCTGAAATGTAAGAAAATAACTTTGAATAGACCAATCAATGTCCGGTTCAAAATAGTTTACATGTCAATTGAACAGGTAAATTTCAGCTGTTCGACAACTAATTCGTCTTGATTAAAAGGAGAAGGTATTAAAGAAGGGGTTGTTTTGATAGTACTTAATGATCATGTCACTTTTATGACCGGAAATGTGTGGCTGTTAAAGGCTAAAGGTTGGGTCAAAAAGATCGCGAATTATGTTAAAATGACCGTCTCTTAGGAAAGCATTGAAAACTAAAAAGTAGATGACCGTTTCATGCTTTTCCCAACCAGACTTTTACCGGACATTATGCAAATGTCCGGAATATATGACCGTTTTGGAAGCCTTGGTCCTAATATGTGAATTAAAATATTTTATTCTATTGAGTATCTGCCAGAAACAGCAGGACTAAATAAAATATTGCCTTCTTGACTTTGTCAAAGAGTGACAAAAGTGGCTGTGTTACAAAAAACATAAGAACCTGTAAGCTACGATTAAAATTAAAAATATAAAAAAGATTCATGGATTTTGATGTTTTTTTTCCTGTTTTTACAGAAGTTCAAAACTGTTATCATAATAAACTATGAATTTGGGTAAAATCTTTTGAGATGTCCCCTACAGTAATAACATTAACACTGCAAAATTTACTCTTTGATTGCAGACAAAACTTTGCTACTGGAGAAGTTTTAATGCATGGCAGGACCTATAAATATGAAAAATTAAAAGTATTAAAAAGATTCATGGATTTTGATGTGCATTTTTTCCTGTTTTTACAGACGTTCAAAACTGTTGTCATAAATAATAAACTATGAATTTGGGTGAAATCTTTTGAGCTGTCACCTACAGTAATAATTGTATTGATTGATGTTCATGATGTTGTCAATGGATATATCTGCTCAGCAATACATTGTACATGTAGCTATAGGTGAATTGAACAGTGTGGGTAGAAAGTATAAAATCAAATTCAGGTGTTTGTTCAGTTTTGATAGACTTTGCAGTAAAAGAACTGCAGCCATTTTGTCCAAAAGTAATAACCTAAAATACAATGTACAAAATAAATACATACTCTTTGTCGAGCCTGCGACTTTTGTCGCAGAAAGCTCGACATAGGGATAGTGATCCGGCGGCGGCGTTAGCTAACTTCTTAAAAGCTTTATATTTTAGAAGGTGGAAGGTCTGGATGCTTCATACTTTGTATATGGATGCCTCATGTTACGAAGTTTCCGTCAGTCACATGTCCAATGTCCTTGACCTCATTTTCATGGTTCAGTGACTACTTGAAAAAAAAGTTAAGATTTTTTGTAATGTTAGATTCTCTCTTATTATAAGTAATAGGATAACTATATTTGGTATGTGCGTACCTTGCAAGGTCCTCATGCCTGTCAGACAGTTTTCACTTGACCTCGACCTCATTTCATGGATCAGTGAACAAGGTTAAGTTTTGGTGGTCAAGTCCATATCTCAGATACTATAAGCAATAGGTCTAGTATATTCGGTGTATGGAAGGACTGTAAGGTGTACATGTCCAACTGGCAGGTGTCATCTGACCTTGACCTCATTTTCATGGTTCAGTGGTTATAGTTAAGTTTTTGTGTTTTGGTCTGTTATTCTTATACTGTATGCCATAGGTCTACTATATTTGGTGTATGGAATGATTGTAAGGTGTACATGTCTAGCGGGCAGGTGTCATCTGACCTTGACCTCAGTTTCAAGGTTCAGTGGTCAAAGTTAAGTTTTTGAGTTTTGGTCTTTTTTTCTAATACTATATGCAATAGTTCAACTATATTTGGAATGTGCATACCTTGCAAGGTCCTCATGCCTGTCAGACAGTTTTCACTTGACCTTGACCTCATTTCATGGATCAGTGAACAAGGTTAAGTTTTGGTGGTCAAGTCCATCTCTCAGATACTATAAGCAATAGGTCTAGTATATTTGGTGTATGGAAGGACTGTAAGGTGTACATGTCCAACTGGCAGGTGTCATCTGACCTTGACCTCATTTTCATGGTTCAGTGGTTATAGTTAAGTTTTTGTGTTTTGGTCTGTTTTTCTTATACTGTATGCCATAGGTCTACTATATTTGGTGTATGGAATGATTGTAAGGTGTACATGTCTAGCGGGCAGGTGTCATCTGACCTTGACCTCATTTTCATGGTTCAATGGTCAAAGTTAAGTTTTTTGAGTTTTGGTCTTTTTTTCTAATACTATATGCAATAGTTGAACTATATTTGGTGTATGGAAATATTTTATGATCTATTTGGCAGTCACGCAGGTTTTATTTGACCTTGACCTCATTTTCAAGGTTCATTGCTCAGTGTTAAGTTTTTGTGTTTTGGTCTGTTTTTCTTAAACTATAAGCAATAGGTCAACTATATTTGTTGTATGGAAGAATTGTTAGCTGAACATGCCTGCCTAGCATGGTTCATCTGACCTTGACCTCATTTTCATGGTTCATTGGTCAATGTTAAGGTTACTTGGTTAATGTTAAGTTTATGTGACAGTTGTAATAAAGCTTTATATTTAGGACTATCAACATAATATCAATGATTAGTAAAGAAGGCGAGACATTTCAGCGTGTGCACTCTTGTGTCATGTTGCTTTGATAAAATTTAATACACAATGACCTAGTAACAAGTTGATTTGTTGATGTGTATACATGTACTTTTTTCATTTTTTTTTCTCACAAATACAAAGAATTTTAGAAAATTTGATATTTATAAATATGATTTAATGGTTATAATTAATGTTCCTATGATAAGGCTTTAGATACAATGTACAAACTGTAAATTGTCATTGTTTACACATATGTTAATGGACATAAAAACCTAGTTTGACATTTTAAGTAGAACAAAGGGATATGTTTAGGCCTTATCCAACCTTCTCCTTTTTGCCTTGCCTTGACAGAGCCAAAAAGCAAGACATACATTTACATAGGTATGCTGTTTCTGGCTATGGCGTCAACAATGTATTAAGTTTGTGATTAGGTCTAGTTTATGGTGAACCACTAGTGATAGGTCAATGATATTTGGTATGCAGTTGTATTAGCATTGGCACATCTCATTTCCATGGAGATTATATGGCCCTGTCCCCTCAGTCATGGTCTATTGACTTTGAAACTTTTGTTTAGTTTACATGTATTAGTTTGTGATTAGGTCAGTTTATGGGGAACCACTAGTGGTACGTCAATGATATTTGGTATGCAGTTGTATAAGCATTGGCATATCTCATTTTCATGGAGATTTTTTGGCTCCGCCCCCTCAGTCATGGTCTATTGACTTTGAAACCTGCTTATTTTACATGTATTATTTTGTGATTAGGTCAGTTCAAGGGGAACCATTAGTGGTAGGCCAATGTTAATTGGTATGCAGTTGTATAAGCATTAGCTTATCTCATTCCATGGATAATATTTGGCCACACCCCTTCATTCATGGTTTATTGACTTTGAAACTTTTGCTTAGTTTACATGTATTAGTTTGTGATTAGATCAGTTTAAGATGAACCATGAATGTTAAGTCAATGATATTTGGTATGCAAATTTATTGGCATTTGCAAGTCTCGTTTGCATGGAGATTATATAGCCCCATCCCCTCATCATGGTTCATTGACTTTGAAACTTTATATAGTGAACAAGTTAATGTTTTTGTTTAGGTTTGTTTAAAGGGAATGACTTATGATAAGTCAATGGTACATGTATATGGTATGCAGTTGTATTAGCATTAGCACATCTCATTTCCATGGAGAAAGTTTAGCCATGTTCCTTCAGTCATGGTTCATTGATTTTGAATATTTGCATAACTTACATGTTTAAAGTCTTGCTATTTTAATTTCAACATTTGCATTATCAAAATTACAAAAAGGTGAGACATATCTCTCGTGTTAACAGTTTATTTATATACTGAATGTCTTTTTTAGAACAAATTGCTGCCAGTATTGGAAATGAAATTAAACGTATGCACAGAAGAAAACAACTACAGTATTCTGGTATTCAGACACCACCAAACATGTCCCCACCACATGAATCTTCATCGAGTCTGTCCATTGATGGATCGGCATCACCATCATCTTCAACTGGCAACATGTTCAGTGCATTATCTCCAAACAAAAGAGAAATGCCATTGTTTACCTTCAAGCAAGTCAGTATGATATGTGAGCGCATGCTGAAAGACAGAGAAGAACAGATTAAAAATGAATACAACTCGGTACTTACTTGTAAATTAGCAGGTAAGTAGTTTACTAAAGGCAATAGTATTATTGAATAAAGTCTTGATACAGTCTTACTTTTAAGGAGGAAGACACAAGTAAGGGGACACAACTCTTAAAAATCAGTTGCTTTTTTTGGTTCAACCATTTCGATTAATTAAAAAGCTAAAACATAGCAGATTATTTTAATTAGTGTTTCACAGGAATACAAGGCTCTAATAACACTGACAAATACAAACATAACTGATTTTAAGAGTTGTCTTCCTTATCAAAGGCCTGCTTCATAAACATGTACATACATGTAATTGTAAGATATACTTTGAGGTTATTGCATTGGTTCAAATGTGGTTTAATTCTCAACTGGGTTATATTTAGCAAAATAATTTCTTCTTGAAATAGGCAATGTTTAAGACTAATAAAAGGTTGGGATTTTTCCAAATACGTCTGAGTAGTATGACATGTCTTCCATCATGTGTGTCCATCAGACTGGAAGTGTACATGGGAGGGAATATTCAAACTGGTTGGTAATTGACTTGAAAGTATCGCAATTGAAGGGGTTAAAAGTTAAGCTTCATGCCATGCGGACTGATAATGATACCATCGTGTTGCACATAGGACAAATTACTGTGCAGCCAAACAGAGGTTAAAGAATATTTTTTGTCACAGCCCAGCTTGCATCTGATTGCCTTAAAAAACTGGCATTATTCTTTAAATAATAAAACACTGAAACATTACAAGACACCCAGAGTTTGTACACTCATTTTAAAATAACACATCTTTTTAACATTTTCTCATGTAGATTTTACAGCACAAATCTGAATTTAAACTTCTCCAACCAAAACAAATTCTATATAATGGACTGAACCGATCATAGAGTTGCATCTGTTACTCTCTTAGACATTTTTTTCCATACCGAAAAATAAATGCAATTAAAAAAATCTGTAATTTCACACGACATACAGCTATTGCAAAATTTGATTTAGATGATCTTGAAAGCTTTCAAGTGCAAATAATTAAAACCAAATTTTTAAAAGCAAGCTTTGCACAAGTTCTTGAAAGAATCTTGTGTAAATTGTGCATGATTGAGTTTAAACACATGATATGATATGTATGATTTTTGATTTTGCAGAACAATATGAGGCATTTCTGAAATTCAACCATGACCAGATACAGAGAAGATTTGCTACAGATCAGCCAGTCAGTTGTAAGTTTTCAACAAACACTTGTCATTACGGTTGATTAGCTAAGGGTCGTAAACAAAGTCATAAACTTGTCGCCAGGTAAAATTTAGTACAATTCATTTTTTTACTTTTACAAATTTTAATGACGATCAGTATCGTTACCGTTACAGTGAAGAAATAAAAATTTTGACATGAGGAAAATGTTGGCACCAGAAACACCGCCAGCAGCCGTATTTTGTCCTCAGATGAAATAAAAAAATCGGCATGGTCCCTGATTTGTTTAGACTACAGAATATTAAAGCGCATTACAACCAAAAATATATTTTAGTTTCACAAATTGTCAATTTCCTCCACTGTTTGTAGTATACATTTGCAACCTACATGACATATTACAAGCATATTATTTAATTGTTTTGTTTGTTAGAACTAAATCTTATTTTTGAGGTTAAGCAATTTAAAGGTTACACCACCGTCCCAAGTAACTCTTTTGTGTTTTGAGCAAAAACTAAAGAAGATAGAAACTAAATAGACAAAATGATCAGCAATAAGATCAACATAAAAGAGATTTTTGTCATGAACTCTATTCTCATCTTCAATGAGAGTGTCCTTTGTTGAAAAAGTACATAGACCTAGGTGAGTGACACACGCTCTTTAAAGCCTCCTGTTTTTTTGCCTATGATGAATAAAAAATTATGTTATATATGTATGAAAATTAATTACAATGTGTATAGATCTGACAATGATAAATTCCACCCTATCTAATTGAATTTAGACAATACATGGTATACAGCAAGTTCTGGCCAGAAATTCTTTCAGCAATTTCCTAAAAAAATCAAAGCAGTATATTTTTATAAGATGAATGTAATTTTAAACACCTGAATACACCATCAAAAGAATTTCAGTTTTATGTACTGTCAATAATATTTTTCTTTATATTTTACAGATGTTTCATGATGTCGGTGTCAGCTAAGTAACTGCCAATCAACATGTGTTCCATTGATTCAAACATTCACAGACTTGCATTTACAGTTAAACATTGTCATTGCCAAAGGAGAGGTGCTCTGCAAACTTGAATTTCTACTCTTGCGGCATTGAATCATGTGTGTGGGTTAATTTTGTCTCGCTTTGCTGATGTCGGATACACCTGTTCCTATTGAAATGTCTTTCTGTAGCAATTAACATTTGTTTTGTGTGTATTATGGCCGAAGTTTACAACTATTTAAATGAAATAAATGAGAATCTGTGCATTTTGGGAGTATGATATAGTAAGACATAGTATTGTAAAACTTGTATGTATAAGCATGTAAATTTACAAGACATAACTTTATAGTGAATTCATCTACAGCCAATCATGCTGGTCTCTCGCATAAACACTTTCAGCCGGTCATGATGTTGTCTTGTGATTTCAGACAGACCATGTTGGTTTATTATTGTGTTGGGTATATTATCCAAACTGCCACACTTGAGAAACTTGTCATATAAACAATGGGATTAAATGTATATTATTTTGTAAATTGCATGACTGATCCATAGATTGTATACATGTGTGCTTATCTTTTGTATTGAGTGACTAGTAAAAGTTGTTCCAGAGAACATGATCAAATTTGTAAATACTTGCTGAAATGAATGAATTTGCCTAAAAGCGTTTGGTGTTTTATGAAAAGTTAGCATATCTAGTTCATAGACCTTTTTTTTTTGTTTTAACTGCGTTACGATTTTACACAGTTGTGTTGTGAATTTCATTAATTGCCGTACATGTAATTCCAGATGTACATTTCATTTTTTTTGGTGAAAAATTCAGCATGCAGTTATGTACAGTTTTATTTGGTCAATCCGTCACATTTGAGGACTGATTTACCAGTTTTTGCCTGTTATAACAATTATAAGCTTGAACTTTTATTATTTTGAACATTTAACTCCACTGTATTTTTTAATTTTGATAGCGATTGTTTTCAGTTTCATCCAGTTTTTTAGTTCAATGTAATTTTTTTAATGTTTTAAATTATATTGAAAATTTCACAACTGTTATGACTAGATTTTCGCATACACTTGCCTTTTTTTTAGCTCGCCTAACCAAATATTTTCACCAGTCAATGCCAGTATTTCAAATTCTGTTTAAAATGAAGAAGCTATTTAAGAATGGAACAAAATAAAAATGATCATTAAGGGGATGCATAATTTGAAACAATTTGATTAGAAAACAGAAGGTAAGAACATTTTTGCATATTTTTAATTCGTTGGTTAGCACGGTTAGGGTGTCCCAAAAAACCTTTTTTGCTGCCTTTTGAAATAATGCATCTGCTAGCCAGAGGAAACTAATTTACCATAGAATATTATACAGTATATAGATATTGAGTATACAAATATAAACCTACACTTAAGGTGTGATTCTTGACAGTGTACATTGTATATTTAAAACTGAGAGTTAATTCGTACAGCTAGAAATACCATGTATGTGTAGTTATCATATTTATTTAATCCTATCTATTTGAAAATCTATACTTGTTTATTCCATCTCAAAATCTTTAATATTGAAATTTTTTGAACAGTTTTAATATTACCTTGAATGGTAGATTTCAGAATTACATGAAATTAAGTCACTTTGTAATGTTTATCAAACTTCAGAATTTGTTTCATTTCCTTTTTCTTATTCTGTAAAATCACCCATTTTCTCATCTGCTCATGAAAGTTAGGATTCAAGTTTTTGAACTTTGTCAATGATTTTGACCAGCTGCTTTGTTGTCCTGTGGTGAAATTTGTATTTCACATTTTCATTCATTCATGCACATATTGTGAATAATTAGAAAAAAATACATTTTAAGTAATGAAATATCTTTCTCATTTAAGCTATTTCTCATTGTTTGTTGAAAGATGTTGGATTTTGACGATGAATAAAAATATGAAACAAAAAAGTCAGATTCTCATTACTTAATTCATACTTTGGTAAATTAAATAATCTTGAAAGACATACATGATGAAATGATGTAATCTTGAACTTCATACAGGTTTAGTATAGAGCCAATGTTCAGTTCTTTATCTCAATGACATGAAATATTTGCCTTCTTTTACTCTTATTTATAACCATTGTTATTATTTTTTGTTGGCATTATTTTATGTTGTTTTATAACACAGGTAGTGTTTTAATTTAAATGTAGTAACTTAATTCTGTATATATTTATATAATATAAACTTGTTACATTGTACATGCAGAAAATGAAAAAGAAATAAAATTCTGTATTATGTTAGGACTTACTGTGAATTTGATTTACGGTCATTCAGGAGTAGAATTTTGAGGCAGATTTAAGAGGCAGGGGTCCAGGCCCCCCTTATAGAACTTCATATATGATAAATGCATAGATGTTTACAAGTATTGCTTCAAACGTTGGTTTGTGAGATGCCTCCCCCTTTTCAAAAATCCTGGATCCGCACCTTGATTTTCAAAAAGGAGTCTGCACTAATTAAATGTTGGTATTGTACTTTAATATAAATTTAGTGCTTTTGTTTTATGTTATCACTGATTATTGAATTATAATTTTAGTATACAATTAGGTTGAAAAGAGCCCGTTTTTCTGGGCAGTGTTATATTTGTTTGACATCTGTCTGTACAAATTGTACCAACCTATCTCTTCAACTGTAAAGAGTTCAAATACTCCAGACTGTTAACTATCAATATGGTCAGCTCATGCTTTGTTCCATAGTGTGGAGGTATTTGTAATGCCATTGATTATTAGGGCCCTGCTGAATGGCGGACGCCCTATAGTGATCAGTCTGTCCGTCCGTCTGTCCGTAACAAATTGTGTCTGCTCTATATCTAGAGAACCGTTATGATTTCAAAGTTTATACTTGACATGTATATAAACCAACACCAGAGGGTGTGTCATAATTTATGTACAACTTCCTAGGTCAAAGGTCAAGGTCAAAAACTTTGGTTTCAGTTGACAACCCCATGCCCAATGATAAAGATACAAATTTTTTACCACACATTATTCACAGCGGGGCCCACAGAGATGGCTCCCATCTCAATGATATCTAGTTTAAGTTTCAGTGAAAAGTGTGACCTGTTCATGAATAAAAGTCAAAAGAAAATAACTAATAAAAAACCACAGTTCAAATTTATCAAAATATTGAAATTATATGCCTGTCCTTGATTACCATATAGAAGACTGTCAACACGGAGGGTGTGAGTTAGAATCCCGCATGTGGCAGGTGCGCTCGACTCCAATCTTAATTGACAAGGATTGTCAGATTTCCTGCTGAAGATTGGTGGTTCTTTCTAGGCACTCTGGCTTCCTCTACCAATAAAAACTGATCACCACAAAAGAGCGCAATAGTGCTCAAAGTGGCATTAAACACCAATCAATCATTTGATTGATTACCATATAACATGATTAAATTCAAAAGTGTGTGTAACCCCTTATCTCGATATATCTTGATTATAACCTATAAAAAAAAACAAACTTAGAAACGATGTATGTATTCAACAACACACTAAAGAAAAAAATATTGCATCTGTAAAATGGAAATGCAATACAAATGTTTCAATGTGAAACAAGACTAATCAGAAAAAGGTTAATAATGCATACATCATGAAGGAAAGGACAAACAACGATTACCGTAGATACATGTACAATAATGTTTAACTGCATCCTCTTCTCTCCTGATGTGAAGATTCCACAACAGGCTTATAAACACAACCAGAGACCTAGAGATCGACACCTGTTTTCAATAATGGACAAGTGTATATACTCTTAATTGTCTACAGTCGAAAAGAGTTATATCCAAATTACAAAATAATGAAGGTTAAAGAATTCTTGGGTCACTTTGCTAGAAATACCGCAGATTATCACTTTGAGGCACTATATTTGATTATTCACATCACTATTCAATAACTTATGTTGATATTTGAAATATGTCGTTCCTTGTAAAGTTTGTTCATGGGTTTTACCTGCCAGAAACTTTTTATCCATTTCCCAAGTCTCCTCCTCCCCTGGCACCACACATACTTTTCTGTCTTCTTCTACACCATTGACACACAAAAGCATCTGAATATTCCATGATGTCCAATATGTTAACCAAAAAAATCTGATGCGTCAATAGCCTTGTTGGAAAGCTGATGTTATTTCTTTTCAGTTCGAAGTAAAATGCTGTAGGCATTGGTGCTTTGTTGGGAATAAGACTAACTTATAATTAGTCCCACACCCACAAAGTCGAAGGGGACTTTAGGTTTTCACTCTGTCCGTCTGTCTGTCCATCCGTCAGTCCGGAAAATCAGTTTTCCGAACTCTTTTTCTTTGTGCTTGGAAGATATTGATTTGATATTTGGTGTATTGTTTTATCATGACAAGAACTGATCAAGTTCGAATTTTGGTCCGGTCTAATTATTGTGTGCAGAGTTATGGTCCTTGGACTTAGAAAATTCACTCAAATAATCAATTTTCCACATTTTTTTTCGTCATGCTTGAAGATATTGATTTGATATTTGTTATATAGTTTACAAGATGACAAGTTATAGATCAAGTTAGCATTTTGTTCCTGTACAATGAATTTTAAACCGGTAGGGGACAATGTATTGCCAGGCAATACTCCCAGAATGCTTGTTAATTCAATATTTTCAGGTTGTTAGTAAAAGAGCATGAAACAATCTAATTAAAATATACATCTCTGATTTCGTTATATTCATATATATATAAATATATAACTGCACGCTAGTTAATATGATAGATAGGAATTTTAATTTGATTGGAACATAAAATTATTTAGATCTATTCGAACAAGTGATAACATTTGGTAACAGAACTATGACATCGCAATTGTCTTATAGGCCATGGTCCATTGACTTTGAATTAATTAGCAATTTTAAATGTAAAGTTTTGTGTTTATGTTAGTTTGATATGAACTACTTGCGATAGATCAATGATATTTTCTATAAAGTTGCATTACTATCAGTACATATCAGTTTGACGACTATTTCAAGGCCCTGCCCCCTAGGTCATATTCCAAACAATTAATAATTTTTCATGTTAAGTTTTCTGATAAAGTTAGTTTGATAGGAACTACTTACAATAGACAATATTTTCTATAAAGTTACATTGCTGTCTGAACATCTCAGTTTGTCAACCATTTCGAGGCCCTACCCACTAGTTGGTCCGGCGACTTTGATTCAATAAGCAATGTTGCTGTCCATCAGATAGTCTTTTTCTGATTTTTATGCCGAGAGGCGAGACATACCTCTGTGTCAATAGTTTATCGATATATATATATATTTATAAACAAAAGCAAAACTTAGAGGTAAAAATTATCAGCAGGTCAAGGTCTATCTGGTTTTTTTTTCATTTTTAGCTCACATAGCCCAAAGGGCCAGTGTAAGCCTTTCCCATAATTTGGCAGCCGTTGTCTGTCGTCGACGTCCGTCAACTTTTACAAAAATATTCTCTTCTGAAACTGCTGAGCCATATTTAACCAAACTTGGCCACAATAATCATTGGATTATTGATTTTCAAAAATGTGTCAGATGACCCCGCTTGACAACCAACAAGACAAGATCTACAGATAAGTCAAATTGCTGAAATCATCATTTGAAACCTTATAGGAGTTATTGCCCCTAAATGATGATCTGAGTTTCACTGATGTGAATTATTAGGATTGTTTACTTTTCTTTTCCAGTCAAAATTTCTATCGGTATGTTCGAAATAAATTAACTGGTCAATTATTGAAGAATTTGGCATTACTTAGGCTGTTCTGAACTTAGAATTACACTGAGTTTAAGAATACCATTGAAGTTCAGAATCTGATTAAGAATTAACATAATTAGATTCTACTCATGGCCCTCAATAAGATTGGTCGATTGACCCCGTTGGACAACCAACATGCCCGACATGGATAAAAATAGAACAAGGGTAAAATGCAAGTTGTGTCGCTTTTCATGAAAACAGCTGTAGAAACAAAATCTGACAAAGCAAAAATGTTTAGAATGTTGAGATCTACCTACTGTCCATTTAGGCATTTTTGGTCCTCAATGCTCTTCAACTTCGTACTTTATTTGGCCTTTTTAACTTTTTTTTTATTCGAGCGTCACTGATGAGTCTTTTGCATAGGCAGATCCAGCCCCCCCCCCTTTTGTTGGAAAAATTTGGTTGATTATACAAGGAATCACTGAAGCATGACTGGAGCGGGCCCCTTAGGTCAGTCAGTGGGCCTCCCTTATAAAAAGTTCTGGATCCGCCACTGTTTAGTAGACAAAACGCGCGTCTGGCGCAAATACAAAATTTCAATCCTGGTATCTATGATGAGTTTATTTACATCAAATCTGTCAGATGACTTCTTATTCGAGTTATTGTCCTTAAATGACGATTTTTACCACTTTTTGTGTTTTTGCCTATTATTTTGTAACCTATAATAGATAGATAGACACTTAAAAAGCAAAACTGATCAGCAAGACAAGATCTACAAATAAGTAAAATTGCTGAAATCGTCATGTGAAACCTTATAGGAGTTATTGCCCCTAAATTATGATTTTAACCATTTTTTGGCATTTTTGACTATTATCTTGAAAATTATAAAAGATAGATAAAAACTTTAAAATGCAAAAATGATCACCAAGACAAGATCTGCAAATAAGTCAACATAGATGAAATTGTCAGTTGTCTTCTTATAGGAATTGTAACAATACAAGCCTCAATTGGAGCCTTAAGTTGTACTACAATGATAGTCATTATAACTCGTTCCTTCCCCTTCACCAAATATTTCAAATCTTTCAGAATTGGTATATTGCAATCTTGTTCTAGATATACATTACATTGTTACCACTGGCCGATTAGAAACCATAAATCAATAAACCAAACCCCCCATTTTTTTAATCTTCTTGTACTTACCAATGAAGCGAAAAACAGATCTGACTGATGTGAATTAATAGGATTGTTTACTTTTCTTTTCATGTCAAATTTCTATCAGTATGTTCAAAATAAATTAACAGAAACTGGTCTGAAACTAATTATTTCCTCTTAATGCAATTTTTAAACGGCATATCTTAGGCTTACCTGAACTTAGAATTACACTGAGTGAAAGAATACCATTGAAGTTCGGTATCTGATTAAAATTAACATAATTAGATTCTACTCACGGCCCTCCATAAGATTGGTCGAGTTTCTATTATCCGACATCGACACCGAAAACCACTGAATTACAAGCTCCTGGCACGAAGCACAAAACAACCAAACTTCTATTGAAATCTACCTAGATATAACTTTTGTTAAACAGTCAGTGTCAAGGGAAGGGGGAGGGGCACGTTAAACGTTATGGATTTTATCAAATCTTTGTGGGGTCTTAAGCCGAGCCGAGTTCAAGTTGATGGTCTCACAGTGATTATGAGATGTTAAGTAGAGTTTTCATGAACCTGTAGCAATTTTTGGATGCTGAGCAGAATATTATTTATCTTTGCACTAATTTAGAATGTTGAAAGTTTTTATATCCATGCAGTGAGTTTCGATGTTTTGGGATTTTTTTTCATCTGCTCTCAAATTTCGTCATTTCTCCCCTTGGTATTGGTCTTGCGTGAAAAATCTACTGAAAATGCCGCCATAAAGATTTTTTTTTAACTGAAGAAACGATTAGCTTTTGTATTATGGAGTTCAATTCTTCGGACCAAAAGTATTAACAGAAATATGAATGCACTCGAATAAAAGAAAATATAGGTGAACAGAGTTCAAGTAGCAATCTGATAATTTAAGTACATACAAAAGTCGCGAAGAGATCGCATTATCGTCTTGAAGAAATTATTGAAAACTCCCCATTTTGAAAACATGAAACAAAATCTAAGACGCACCCCAAGACAATATGTTACCAATTTGCATGTTTAAAATCTATATTTTGTAAACGTTTCAATAACTTTTAGTTTTATTAGTTTGTTAACTTAAAACAAAGGATAGTCGACGCAACATATGGCGGAGAACATTTTTCCAGTAATCGTCTGGACTATATAAAACAAATGCAGCCCCATGAAATTCAAACGAGCAACAGAATCTTGAAAGGTTACCAAGACAGATAATTACAGCTAGGTAAGTAACATGTTTGTTTATTGTTTTATCTTTCTCTTATTGTAAGGGAATGTATTGTCATTCGTTTACACAACTGTTGAACCTTAATATATGATAAAAACTGAACACTTATTTTTGTACGCCCGTTTACGGGACGTATTATGGTATACCGTTGTCCGTCCATGTCTGTCCGTTTGTCCGTCCGTCTGTCCGTCTGTCGTCAACATGTCGGACAATAACTCAAAAACGCTTTAACCAATTTGCATGAAACTTTGGTGAATGATTTATATATATTGACTCAAGCTCTCTTTTGATTTTTATAAATTTTAGATTTTACGTTTCCGAGTTATGGAATTTTATTCATAAAAAAGGGGTATTTTCCAGTTTTCGGACAATAACTCAAAAGTGCTTCGAGCAGTTTTCACGAAACTTTGGTGACTGGTTTATATCTGGTTATTTAAACAACATCCCTTTCGTTTTTTTATAAACTTCTGATGTGACATTGAGGAGTTATGGAACTATATTCGATGCAAAAGCGACGGGCGTATTATACGCTCATGGCGCAGCTCTTTATTATCTTTTTGAGGGGTGGGATGGGGGTTAAGAAATTGTTTGATTCTCAATTCCTTGAGTTTTTTTTTGTTCATTCAGTAGGGATTTGAAAAAAATATAGTTTGTTTTTCATTGAAAATTTGGGAAACTTTGTTTATCCTGAGGAAAAATCCATGCTCCCCCCCAAAAAAAAACAAATTAAAAGAGGTAGGGAAATATAGGGACTAGGGATAAGCATGTCCCTTAACGAACGGATTTTTTTTCAAAAATGACAAAAATATCAGTTTGTACATTTTATGTTAATCTGTTTAACCGAGAAAAAAATTATGTTAACATATGTCCGTTCCTACGCCTGTCAAAAAATCCATAATTATTATTATCATTAACAAAATAATTTTTTGTAACAAAATAAGCTTAACATAAATTTATTTATTCTTGTGTTTTTCAGGACGTGGATAAAAATGCAAACCATACTTTGTCTCCTACTGCTTTCGTTAAGTTTGATGTCGTGTGCAATCAACGACTGTCCACGATACAATAAACCAAAAGGAAAATGTCGGAGGGGTAAAGCTAAATCCTTTTTGGCTTTCAATGCTAGGTTACTGTCTTCAGTTCCAAATAAAGATGACCGACTAAAGGAACTTTCTGGTGCATTATTAACAGAAAATGCGGATGTAGTGTGTCTTAATCAGGTAATAATAAGTATAAATAAATTCCTTATAAAACCCAAGCAGTTGAAGGGTCGGGTTTTGCAACGACCAAGATGTCAGAACAAATTGAATTATCTTCGGATTGCCTCGACACATTTCTAAAAAAACATTATATTTAGTATAACTGAATAACCAGACTGGCAGCTGAATACATGTTTATTTCAAAAATTTGGTTTTTAAAGTATTAAGTTGTTTTCGTCGAACACTCAGGAAAATAAAAAAAAAAAAAAAAGAAAGAATATTGCCGCCATTTACAGAAGGTAACACCACCATATTTTGTTTTTCAAAAATAAAAATAAAAATTATACACTAACATTTCATGACAAGATATCAAACAATTTTTGTCATAGTATTTGCATCAATAAATTTTAAGAGGCCCCTCATGGGGGTGTCCAAGTAATCACATAATCACAAATTGTTTGCCAATTTAATCACATAATCATTAACTATCTGTTTAAATAAGATAATCAAATAATCAAAAATACAGTCCTAGATTATCAAATAATCAAATAATCATGAAATATTTTGTCTGGTAATCAAATAATCACTATAAAAACGGCCAAGTAATCACATAATCAAAAACCCCATGAGGAGGCTCTTTTAAGGCAGTACAAACATGACAAATACTGCATTTGAAAAAACCCATCGAAGAACACAGTCATGTTGACTTCTTGCTTCTATATAGTTATAATGTTGTATGCTTTCTTTTGTTTATTTTTAATGTGCATTGTTTGGATAGTTTTTCGCTGACGTTAACCAATTATCTCTGCATGCCTATCTATATACTTAACTGACAGTTATTCATTGGTGTGTTACATCTCATATTGTTTATTTTCAGGTTTTTTTACAAGATGATATACAGACTCTATATGACGATATTAAGCAAGTTTATCCAAACATTTACAGCTCTATTCATGATGGAACTACCAACAACTTTTTACCTTCGACAACATCTCCTTGTTCGGGTGTAACTTTTCTTTCGGCGGTGAGGTGCATGGGAATTAATTGCGGTCGCACATCCGCCATTAAAGGCGTTATAGAATGTGATGCACAAAACAATTGTAATTTTTGGAATTCTATAAGTCAAGAATGTCTTTCCTGTTTGACAACTGTTGATTCAAGCTCTAGAGCTTTTGGAGCACAATGTTTTACAAAACCGTCCAATATGAATGTTGCTGGTAATGTGATTCTTAGTAAATTTTCGATTGAAAAAGACGAATCTTCGTTTTATGTGAGCGTTAAACAGGTCAATAGACAAGGAAAATTAATTGTTGAAGTATGTATATATGTAACAGACCTTATAGCATTTAGACCTTCTTTCAATTCTTTGCATTTACTTTACTATAATAGGGTCCGAACTAACCAATGGTCCAATTAACTTGGACATTTGAATTTCTTGAATTATCTTTCCTTTCTTAGGCACCTGCTGTCGTAAGCAGACATATTTTTACTCTTTTTATATAAATTGTTTTACTCTAAATTCCTTTAAAATTGCTACAGAAGGGAAGTGAAAAAAGATGTTTTTTTTTTTTATTGAAAATTAGTTTAAGAAAAAAGATAATAAATTAAAAACAACATCGTCATAAAAACAAACTTTGCACTGTATGCAGTTATGGTAAAAAATTATTAAAACAATGTTTCGACAAAACAATTGTTCCCCTAAAGGCATGAAAGGTCGGTTCATATCTGTTATAATTCAGTATAGTAACGTAACGAGTTCAAACTGCTGAACGGTCCACCAAGGATATTTTTTATATGTCATCGACTTTTCACCATGAAGATTTTCTTGTGTTCTTTCTAAACATAGGTGATCATAGGTGAATTGTTATTTATACTGCACTCGTTCTATTTGAGCAGTCAAAATGCGTTGACCGTATATTTCTATGTCATATACAGTCACTGACCTGATATCACTTTTCCTCATGAATATTTAAATAGAAATTGCCGAAATTATAATTAATTATTCATACGACCTATTCAACCTGTTCTTGTTTCCAATGTATACAACGACTCAAACTTATTTCTTTTGCAATTTTTAGAAAAAAAAAACATATTTCACTTGTTAATATTTTTGGTTTGCAAACTATAAATCATTATGTTTTATGCTTATTGTTGATATTTTAGTTCATTCTCAAACAAATTCGTTCACCATCGACTGCGGGTTTCAACAGGTAATGTACATTTCATTGTTATGTATATTTCCCCGCCTGCATGATATGAGGCGTTTTTATAAAAGGGGGAAGTTTCCCAATATTTAAATCAAATAATAACATTAACACATTAAACAACAATTGAAAATGTTTTTTTTAGATTGCAGTATAAAGACAATAATAGTGCATTGACTTGACATATCAACGATATAAGGATTCGACCCGAAACGGGGAAAAAAGCTCGGCAGAGCCTCGCATTTCCCCGTTTCTAAGCCTCATCCTTATATCGTTGATATGTCAAGTCAATGCACTATTATTGTCTATTTAAAATAGTAGTTGATTGAAAAAAAATATAAACATACAAAAGAACATGTAGAATATTGTTGATATTATTGCATGATAATATTGTGATTGGAATTAAGACGTAATAATCTTTTTATTAAAATGAATATATAGCTTTAAGTTTCGTATTAACTTTATGTTTTCGGCTAAAAGGCGAGTGCTAGAGAAGGGGTGGGTTAGGTTCAGTCGAAAACACTGGTTTGTTTCTACATTTGAGAATTGCGCCCTCTTCCACCAAGTCTATTCATATACATTGTACTTATTTTTTTATTATTTTGTTTTATTATAGATTACTGGACGTACCATTGTTTGCACAAATCTACAAACTACTTTAAACGATGAGTATTATGAACGTAAGAATTCCTACATTTATTTAAATTTTTTTTTACACATACATTATATTATTAAAATCCTTGCAAGAGACACCTTTAAGATGTTCAGGTCATATTTGAGGGTCTGGAGGCGGGGGGGGGTGTCCTTCATTTCTTTTCTTTATTTTTTTAGGCCATTTTTCTCTATTCTTTATACTTTCTACCCATTAATAGAACAATAATCTAAAGAAGTTTGATTGCGATTTAGTACATATGTTTATTTATTCTTTTCAATGGAGGATTCCCAGTGAGACTAAATTGTTATGTATCAAGATTACTTAACAGCATATTTTTTTAATATGCGACTTATTCATCTGTTAAATGGTTTTGTAACACGAAAAAATTTTACATAGGTCTTTATTGCATGATTTTTATATATTTTCAAACAGCTGAAACAAAGACCATTTTCTCAACTTGGGCAGAGGAGAATTTAAAACAAGCTGAATGCATATTGGAGAACTTCAGAAGGCAAGGAATGGTCATACTTATGGGTGACCTTGCATGTGGACCGGAAATTCCGTCTAACGGCATTAGAAAAGAACATTTACGTTAGTTGATTAATGACCTTTGTCTAATTAAGTGGATGGAATATACTGTGATTTCATATTGTGCGGAAAAACAGTTTATTTTCGTTTTGATTTTAAATCGTAACCGGATTTGCTTTTATTTCTAAGTCGAGCGTTTCTAGTGATTGCAATTGGTTTCTTTTCTCAGTTGGCATGCCCTGCATCTGCATGTTCTATTTTGATCCTTGTTGAAATATTCATTTACCTTGCAATTTGAAAATGGAATGTTTTCTTAGAAAGTCAATGAATGATCGAGATCATTCTTTTCGCAGAGAAAGAAATAAACAAAAAATACATCCTTAATATTGTCAGTGCATATCAGTAATTTATGATTCTCAATTGCCAAAACTATACAAAATAATTAAAATATTTTTTTATCAAATTAAAGAACATGATACATATGAGTTTTTTTTCCAGCTTCATACAACGCCTTAACAACTCAATTCGTTTCACCATATGCTAGGACGATTGGTCTTCAAACAAGTAGGGGTGCAAAAATTATCACTACACACGTGATGATGAAAGGATACAGCAGTCGCATAACTTGCTCGGTATGTTTTAATAAGGATTAATCATGTAATTACCGAAACTGATTTAAAGCAATCATGTAAACATAGTCACACCTTGACGGTCACACACGGGGGCATCTTTAAAAATCATTGAAAAAAATCAAACAAAGTTAAACAGCATCTTTATATTCTATTTATCACAGAATAAATTAATAACTGTTACAGTAGGGCTTTTGTAACAAGTTTGCCACTTACAAATGAATTATTAAATTGCATTCGGCACACCTCTGCAGTTTATTACATTTATGTTAGTTGGAATATGCCGAGTTTTACCGAAAGCTGAAATCAGTATCATACCTTTACGTAACTACCACTAAACCGGATGCCGCTGGTAGAGAATTGTCAGACCCCGAAGGTACCAACAGCAAAGTGCACGTGGATGTAGTTCGGGTTTGATTTACGGCTTAATTTTGAAAATTGTGAAATTTTCAGTTGATAAATTTTGAAATTAACTAAAACTAAAGTTGAAACGCCTTAAGGCAAAGTTGACTTTTTATAACCATTGTATTGTAATAATTAAATTTTATGCTTTTTTGATTCCAGACTCTTAGAAAGTAATTCAAACCATCTGTATTACGCACTGAAATTGCATGATATCTATATATATATATATAAACAAGTCTAATATATATAACGTATGAATAGGGGATAAGGATCAGGTCACTGAAAAATGTAGATTTTAAGGCCGAATATAGAGTGCTATTAGGAATTGTAGACCTACGTACTTTCAAAATACAAGTATGTAATAGTATGTTTCGAAATATGTTTATGTACAATGGTATTTTGAATTGTGTATCAAACTGAAAACGAATGTATATTACTCTAATATCATTATCATTTTTTGTTTTAGCGAGTTCTAGACACATACAATGGAACAGAACTTTCCTTGGGGTACGGTGTAAAATGTATGCTGTAGATTGATGAAAGAATATGACGTTCCTATTATGCTAAATAAAATTTTACATCAGCAATAATTTGTCGCTTTTTTCAAGGCCTTATTTTATGTATGAGGGTGTGGATGGGGTTAACAGAATAGAGAATAATTCAATAATGGGCCAATGAAATATTGAATGCAGAAAAACTAGAGAATAGAGAATCAAGGGGTGCTAAAATATAAAGGATAGACATGACAAATTGGCAGAAAAAAATAAAGAAAAGAGAAAAATAGCATAAAAACTAAAGGATGCAGAAATGATTGACCCCCATCCAGACCATCATATATAAACATTGAAACATACATATCAAACGTTCTCTATGCCCCAACCGGAATTCGCCACTGTGAGCTCGTACAATTGTAGAAAAAGATGATATGAAAAATAGTCGTTTAGCGCTGTTAAACAAGAATGCAGTTGTTGTCGTGCTAACCACGTACCCAAACTTGAAATTTAGAGTATCCGAAAAAAAAAGAAGGTGTCTGACATATCCAAAAAGCGCTCCCAAGTCATCACCTGAAAGCTGCAGAGCAGATATGAAGTCATTCTGTTCCATAGAGTAATGTGTGACAAAAAATATTGAGTTGATTCAACATATTGTAAAATTCAAAATATAAGCAAACAAGAAAGAGGTGTTTGACAGATGCGAAAAGTGCCCACACTTTACAACTCATCACTGTCATGCTATTGAATAAATATGAAGTCATTCTGTTAAGTAGTTCGTGAGAAATACTAGTATATGAAAAAAAACACGAAGTTTATTCAAAATAGTATTATTCAAAGCATCGGCAAACAAAAAGTAGATGTCCGACAGATTCGAAAAGTGCTCATGCGTTATAACTTATCACTGTCAGGCTGCTGATCAATTATGAAGTCAATGAAATAGTGTGACGAAAATATTGGTTGGACGAACGGACGAACGGACAAGATGAATGCAATATATCACCACTCCTAGAGTAGGGATATAATATTGATATCAATAATTACTACAAATACATTTAAGATCGAAGAGGTTAAGTCAAGACGTATGTGGAAAAACTTATTCCTTGTTATGTTTTTCTGTCGAGACAAAAGAAAAATGTTTCATCCCCATTTCGTTAAAAGGTCATTGACAACAATTGAAACAAATAATAAAACGTTTTGGTCCTTTATGTTATGGTTTTTAATAATTTTTATGCCCAGCCCATGATAATTGGGGGCATTATGATTCCCGGTCTGCCCGTCCGCCCTTTCGTTCGTAACAGGTTTATGTTTAGGCTTAGGGTAGTTTGTCATGAAGCTGTGGTCACATCAACTAGAACCAATATGACAATTAGGAGATGTGGTATGATTGCCATTGAGACAACTATCCAACAGAATCTAAATGACGTGGATGTAAGCAACTTAAGGTCACCGTACGACCTTTAACAATTAGCAAAACCTATACCGTACGGTATGCTATAAAAAAGACCGACATGACAAAATGTAAAACTATTCAAAACCTACGGCCTAACTTATGATGAAACAATGAACGAAAAACAAATATGACAGACAGTAACCACAGATATCCACTGAATTACATGCTTATACATTTTTTTTTATGCGAGCTCTTTTTAAAATATATGCAAATTTGGGGTTTGACCCATACTTCGGGGTTAATTGCACATGCAAATGAGACAGTGTCAGCGGGGCATGGTGTGAAATGGACACATATTCTTTTTTTATAATGTTTGTGTTGTTTCTCTCGGTGACGGTATTGTCTTCTCTTTGTTCTAGAAATATTTTTCAGATAAATGCAAAATTATTGAAAAGATTAAAACTAACAGTTGTGATTCGTTATTTTCATTAAATATTAAAATGAATACTAGAGCACACCCGCGAAGTCGCGGGCATTTAGAGCGTGGTTGAAAATTGAGAGTAGAATTTATCAACATCAATATGTTCCACAAAAGAATAGCGTGAATTCTCGTTACACTCCACAGTAACAGCCTTTTCCAATTCTTCAAATAATATTATCCGCCGTTAGGGTACCTGTGTTAGTTCAAAATTCGGCAAGTCATCCATTCCAACACATGAGAAAGAGTTATCAAAATCCTCCAGCTTTTCGAAAGCAGTATTTTCATTTTCAACATCAGTGCATGTTTGTGATAACGCTAGATCGTCTATATACTGTTATCCCATTCAGCAATTACATTTAAAATTCAATGTCACTGACCTCCGTATTTGCAGCCATTTAAGACGACTGAAGCCCGCAGACTGATAATGCAGCGGGATAGACACTTTTCATCACGTGACATCAGTTGTGACGTCAAATGAACTTTGATACATGTCATTTACCAAATACAAAGTGATTGGTATGTGTAGATACACCATAGGATGGACAAAATTTCACTCGAAAGCAAAGCTTTCTCGTGGAATTTAGTCCCTCCTATGGTGTAAGCAGAGCTTTCTCGTGGTATTTAGTCCCTCCTATGGTGTAAGCAAAGCTTTCTCGTGGAATTTAGTCCCTCCTATGGTGTAAGCAGAGCTTTCTCGTGGTATTTAGTCCCTCCTATAGTGTAAGCAAAGCTTTCTCGTGGAATTTAGTCCCTCCTATGGTGTAAGCAGAGCTTTCTCGTGGTATTTAGTCCCTCCTATGGTGTAAGCAAAGCTTTCTCGTGGTATTTAGTCCCTCCTATGGTGTAAGCAAAGCTTTCTCGTGGAATTTAGTCCCTCCTATAGTGTATCTACACATACCCAGCACTTGTTAATTTGGTAACTATGACTTATACAATATGTCAATTTGTAAATCTTCGCATTAACACACAATTTTGAAAAAAATCATTATTCTATGACATACGACAACATCCTGAATTGAATAACATGAATCATTGATCATGAATATATGGCGGTGTTACTATTTTTGTTTTTAAATCTCTACACTCGCCCTTTTTTATCATTAAATAACAACGTGCTTAAAAGAAGATTAATCAATTGCTTAATTCCGCCTCATCTGGACTCTGTCGTATAGATGTATTTTTGTCAGTCATACCAAATCTTCTTATTTTATACACAAGGACTTGGTTAGCAGATTAAAATATTTATTTATCAATGTTTTTCAACCTAGATTTTTCAATATACGGATATGGATAGTAAACTGCACATTGCTAGAAAACAAAGATATATTGATGTCAACGTTAAAAACGTTAATAATGTAATACAAATAGACAGGAAATACGAAACAACATTGATAAACAAAATCTTAATCGTAAAAAACGCAAAAAAAACAATGAAAATCAAGAAAGCCTTTCAGATGGTGACATATTACATGCTATACACAATTTCGAAACTGGCCATGTAGAACAATCATTAACACTACATGATAGTGATGTGAAATCTCTACAAGTACTTGCAAATGAGATGTTAAAAACACTACAAGGTTTATGCACTGTTAAAAAAGGTTGAAAAAACTTACACTAACGGAGTTGAACAAAGATTAAAAAAAATAGAATAGAAAATTAATATATTTCAAAAAAAAAAAAAAAAATGATAAATTGACATAAATTCATACAGACAATAAAGAAACTAGTAATCAATCCAAATCAAATGATAATATGCATTTTATCGAAACACTTGTTGAACTGAAATCACATGTATCTGGCTTGGAAAATAAAATTGACAAGATTGCAATTAACTTAAAAACAAAGCAGGTAGAACAAGAAATGGACGATTACATGAAAGAAGACGCGACACTCACTGAAGAAAATAAGGAGAAAGAACTAAAAATAAACGCTGAAACATACAATAGAGTTGAAAGTTTACAAAACAATGAGAATGATAAAGATACTGAAAATACACGGAATTCAGACAAACAACAATGGGATAAAAACAAATCCAATCTTGATCTGAGACAGGACCATCACAAGGACAAAAGAATAGATAAAATCGAACAAATTGAAGGCAATGAATTACCTGAGAAAGACACGTCAGTGAGACAAGACATAAAAAACAATACTAATGAGACATTCAGTAGCCATAAAGATCTGAAATATGAGGAATTAGTTA